CAGCCCGGACTCTCGGACCGCCCCGCGCGTCCTCGCGGTCCCTGCGGGCTCTGGACGCGGAAAGCCGCGCGCTCTGGCGCAGGGCCCCCGGGCCTCACCGAGGGGAAGCAGGCGGTCGATGGGGCGGGAAAGCTCGCAGAGGCGCCGTCGTCCTGGAGCCCCAGCTAGTCCCCGCGCAGTGTCCAGCCGGCCCTCTGCCTGCCTCCCCTCCTCTCTCAGCACCTGTCACCCCCTCACTGCCCCACCCGTCTGTTACCCATCCTTTCCCCATTAAAAAACTTTAATCCATCATGTCTCTCACTCTGTCTTTCCACCTGTCCATCACCCTTCCATCCAGTTCGAGCCACATAACTTCCCTGCCACCCGTCTACCCTTCCCGTCCTGCATTTTCCCATTTCGCCAACGCCTCCACCCCGCGCTGACGGGATGCTTCTTCAGGGTGCCTTTCCCTCCAGGCGGCCTCGGATGGAGCACACCACCCGCGGAAAGCTCGTGGAAGCGGCCGTAGCCGAGCGAGGGGCGGGCGCAGCGGGTCTGACGGCGCTGAGGGAGCTGCGCACCCAGGGTGGACTCGGCGCAGGCCGGGGCCCGGGGCTGAAGGCCCGCTGGAAAGCCTTCACCCCCTGGGCACAGGTGGGTGTGGGGCGAGAAAAACAAAATCTTAGCCAGCACGTGCTATGTGCCAGGTGGCAAGGTCTCTTGCTCAGCCCACACGACTCTGTTTTAGCTCAATTTTAGAGGCAGGGAAATGGGTTCAGAGAGATGAAAGGGGCTCAGAGTGCCCTGGGTTGAAATCTTGGCTCTGCCACTTTCTTGCTGGGTGTCTTTGGGCAGCTACAAGGCTGTTTCCTCATTCATAAAGTGGAACTGCTGTGTACCTTACAGCTGTGATGCTGTGAGGCTCCTGGCTAACAAGGCATTGACAAAATGCCAAATATGGTTCCCGCCCAGTCGGTGATCAAACAGGGATGGCTGTTATCATTATACAAGAGGTTAGGGTTCAAACCCAGGTCCTGTGCTCCCCCACTTCACAAACCATGTCTTGGTCCATCCTTCCATTCACAAAGACCAGCTCCCTCCTGCTCCCCCCCAGCCGGCTGGCGGTGTCCTGCTAGGAAGCAGAGTGGATCTCACAGCTCTTCTGCACTGACTTGTGCCCCACCCCCAATTCCTGCATTGAATTCCTAACTCCCAGAGCCTCAGAATGAGACCTTAGCTGGAAAAAGAGCCCTACGGATGTCACTGTAGACGAGGGCACACTAGAGCAGGGCCCTGAGCAGTATGACTGATGTCCTTGTCAAAAGGGGGAATTGGACACGGACGTGCACACGGGGAGCCCATCACGGTGATGCTGCTGTAAGCCAAGGAAGCGCTAGAAGCCAGGAGAGGCCTGGAACAGATCCTCCCCAGCCCGTCAGGGAACACAGCCCTGCTGGTACCTGATCCGCACTGCCAGCCTCCAGAACACGAGGCACTAAGGTTCTGTTGTTTTAGTCACTGGGTTTGTGGTATTTTGTTATGACAGCTCTATCAAAGTAATACAACCACCACAGGCCCTTTTCTCTGTGTAGAGGTGTCACACAAGGGTGCTGTCCAAGGTAGTGACCAGACTGAAATCCACTGTGTCAGGGCCTGTGGTCACTGCTGCCTGACTGTGCCCACGGAGACTGGCCAGAGCCAAGGCTTGTCAAGCCTTAGTAAATGGTGTTTTTTTTTAACATGATGAAATTTTACTTTATATATACATCAATGTAACCACCACTCAGGTCAAGCTATAGAACATTTCCAGCATAGCAGGTGCCTCATGTGTCACCCCAGGGTGCCCTCCCCACAGACAGGTAACCACTATTCTGACTTCTGTTGCCTACAATAGTTTTGCCTGTTCTTGACTTCATACCAACAGAATTACACAGTATGTGCTCTTCCATGTTGTTTCTGTTGCCCAGTGTTGTTCATAAGATTGATGCGTCTTGGCCCTGGCTGGGTCGCTCATCACCCGAATATGCCAAGTCGTAGGTTCAATCCCCAGTCAGGGCACATACACGGATCAACCAATGGCCAGCTGGTGTGGCTCAGTGGTTGATGTCGCCCTATGAACCAGGAGGTCAGAGTTCAATTCCCAGTCAGGGCATATGCCTGGGTTCCAGGCTAGATCCCCAGTGGGGGGGTGTAGGAGGCAGCGGGTCAATGGCTCTCTCATCACTGATGTTTCTGTCTCTCTCTCCCCCCCTTCCTCTCTCTGAAATCAATTTAAAATAACTTTTTCTTTTTAAAAAAAGAATCAGCCAATGAATGCATAAGTGGAACAACAAATCCATGTTTCTCTCTCTCAAATCAATTTTAAAAAGACTGTTGCATCCTGTTGAATACAGCTGACATTGTTCCAACTGACAAGTGGTATAGTATTCCATTGTACAAATGTATCACAGGGAGGGACATTGACACCATTTCCAATATTTGATGTCTATGAATAAAGCTGCTATAAAACATTCTTGAATATGTCGTTTGTCGAACACATGCACTCATTTCCCTTGGTGGAATTGCTGGCAAAGGGTATGCATAGTTTTTACTTTAGCAGAAATCGCCAGTTTTCCAAAGTGGTTAAACCAATTTACAGCCCCCCCTCCCGGCTGTGGTGAGAGTTCTGATTGCCCTGTATCTTCATATTGTCAGTCTACATGCTGCTAGGTGTGTAGTGGCAACTCATTGTGCTTTAATTGGCATTTCAGTGATGGGTAAGGTTGTTGAGCACCTTTTCGTATACCTGTTGTCCATTTCCCCCTCTTTGAGCCTTTTGTCCATTTAGAAAAATTGGGATGTTTATCTTTTTCTCATTGATTTGGACTTCTTCTTATATTCTGAATGAGTCTTTTAATAAAGTTTAATCTCACCCCAAATTTATACACACACACGTTCCAATCACTTGAGTTCAAAAGTAATTTTAATCCTATTAATGAAATAAAAGCAATTTTTTCATAGAAAATGACCCCGGGTCACATAATACATGACACATTCATTTCATATGCACATGTTGGGACTGGCCCAGCAGACCCCGCCCGATGCTCATGCGTGAGTAGAGCACTTGCTCTGGACTGGGCACCACAGCTGACTTGTTCAGTTTGGCTGAGCTGGGGAGGGAGGCGGAGATGAGGCTCACATGTTTCTTCTTCCTCCAGGATGGGCTGACAGTGAACCTGCATAACCCTGTGGACCAGGGTGGTGGGAAGCACAGAGCGAGGGGACCAGGATCCAGCCTCTGGTTTCCAGAGCGGGGCTCCCACAACTAAGCTGCATGCTCAGTGTTTACTATGTGCCTACTACGTGGCAGTTCTGGGGACCCAGAGATGGTTAGGACACCAGCTGAGAGAGTGTGTGAGGGTTCTGATTGCCCTGTATCTTGATATTGTCAGTCTTTTTATTTTCAGCCATGCTGGTAGGTGAGAGAGCCTCATGGTCAAGGAGACCATGCTGAGCGAGCTCATGGTCAAGGAGAAGAGTTGATAAAAGGCGCAAGGAAGCATGACATGGAGTGCTAGGTGTTGTAAGTGGTGTCACCTCTATAAAGGGACCTTTGGTCAGGATGCTACGGGAGGAAGGCTGGAGGCTCCCAGCTCTTGATGGGTCCCAGGGACATCTTCAGAGTGAAGCTGATGCCATTTGAGCTGTGCTTTGATGGATGAGCAGGAGTCAGCAGGCAGAGGGTGGCAGAAGGACATTCCAGGCAAGAAGCTTGGTGCAGAGTTTCCCCACTAGTGACACTCTGTGACTGGAGTGTAGGGTGTGTTGGGGGACAGGCAGGAACATTAGTGCAGATCCTGGGATGGCAGAGCCTTCCCTCCCGCCCCAGCTTCCAGGGAGCCCTGCTGCCCAGGACAGTGTTTCCTGGGGTGTGGGTCACAGCTCGCCAGGCTCTTCACTCTCAGGGTCAATATGTGCGCAGTGGGTGGTTCTTTGTAGTATGGCCTTTCTGTTTAGAAGAATCGTTATTTTTTATTCCTTCCCACAGTTACTACTGTGCACAAAACAGCATACTTCCTGGCCCTTGGTGGGCACTCAAAGGGTGTGGAATCCACCTCCCTTACCTGAGAAGACGTCTCTACTGAAGAATGACCTTTGGTTCTGTATCATTTTTCTTCTGGAGTTGGGACCTAGTGGACAGGAATGAAGGAGGGTGGACACCCCCCCCCCCCCCCCNNNCCCCCATGCTCAGAGTTCTGGGCCTGGTGGAGAAAAGCAGGGCAGGAGCTCTTGGAACAAGGGTGCCATGGCCAGGGCGGTAGGGGCTGCTGGAAGGGCTTACCTGAATGACTGGGCCTGCCAGAGGAAGCTTCTGGCCTTGGTGATCTCCTGGGCCAATCTCCTTAAATCATCTCCTTCAAATAGTGGCAACATGGAGTCCTTGAAAAGGGGAAATAAGTGTTTAGACCCATTCAGTGACTAGATGGGACATGAAAATCCAAAATCTCAGGAGAAGAATTTTAGAGCTAATTAAATGTAGCCTCCCACCCGGTGCGGGAAATCTTGTGGGCCCTGGCTTGCATCTTGCATGTTTCTGGGGACGGGGAGCTCACGACTGGTTAAAGGAGCCATTCTGCAAACAGGACACTTTGAAAGAGATGTCTAAGAGTCAGTGTAGGGAGGGGCCATAGAAAATCAGGATGGTCTCTGAACTTCACCGAAGGCAGCAGAACAGAGCAGAATACGCTCCTTATCCCACTGAGGCAGGAAAACCTACTCAGCCCTTTCTCTGTTTCTCCTAGTGAAACAGCTTCGCAGACATGCTTTCTTCTTCTGTCAACCAATGAAATTCCAGGGCCTACCCTTAAAAGGAAGGGTAGCAAGAGACTCTGAGAGAGAGATGGTGTCGCTTCTCCCTGGCAGCAGGAGCGGGGACGACCCCATTCCACATCCACAGGCTACTCACAGTATGATTTGATAAAGCACTGAACTGAGAGCCTTCACGATATTGTAAAGTTCCTTTTCCTGTGTAACAAGGACATTCATTACTTTTACTTGTTGTGTCCTCTATATTATTTGTAATATTTGGTCCTAAAGCAGTCACTGAAACAAAGAAAGCATGCAAAGTACTTGACTTCAAACATTATGCCATGTCTTGGGACAGTGATCTTTTTTTTCTTTTTTTAATGTCTCTTTATTGATTTCAGAGAGAGAAAGGGAGAGGGAAAGAGAGAGAGATAGAAACATCAATGATGAGAGTCATTGATTGGCTGCCTCCTGCAAATCCCTTACTGTGGATGGAGCCCCAAACCAGGCATGTGCCCTGACCAGGAATCGAATCACAATCTCCTGGATCCTAGGTCGATGCTCAACCGCTGAGCCACACCCAGCCTGGGGAGTAATCTTTTTTTAAAATTGAATTTAGAGAGAGAGGAAGGGAGAGGGAGAGAGAGAAACATTGATGTGAGGGAGAAACACCAATGGTTGCCTCCCATACACACCCTGACCAGGACCAAACCTGCAACCCGGGCATAGGCCCTGACGAGGAATCAAACCCGTGACCCTTCAGTGCACGAGATGATGCTCAGCCAATGTTGAGTCACACTGGCCAGGGCCTGACAGTAATTTTTAAACCTCCAACAGGAAATCTGGAATTCTGGTTGGTTGTGTTACTTGATAATTTGCTGCCCTGCAAATGTTATAACTGACAGTGGAACATTCTAAAAGGTAGAAATAAGCGCGGTTTTCCTGTTCCCCTGGGAGAGGCTCAGGGATGCCTTCCTCTTGTCCCACATGTGATGGAACCCATGACTTCACCAGATTTATTACAGAACAGATCATCTAAATATCTGCCTCAATGACTTTAACCCAGGCAGACAGAAACACGCAGGAATTGAAGGCCAGAGCTCAGGGGCATGGGTGCCTGAGCTCCAGTTTTAGCATTATTCTGACTTCAGGTATGTTCCCAAGCCTGGCAAAGCCTGTTTCTTCACCCATTCAAGGGGCAGAAGAATGGCTGGGAGGGTTAAAAGAGGTAATCCATGTAAAGCAACAAACCTACACCTAGTAGGTGCTCAATAATGCAAACTGTTGTTTCATTAAATAGCACCCCGAAACTCTGCTTCTTTCCCAGCCCTGAGGAGGGGCGGGGAGAGCTCTCAGAGGAGAGCAGCAGGGAAGCACAGCCTTTGTCATCAACACTTTGACAAGAGAGCAGGGATCTTTCCAGTTAGGGGTAAAAACCATGTCAGTTAACATTTTTTTGAGCCATTTCAGTAGTTCCACAACCTACCCTTTCATCCATGAAGCCCTGGAGCAGGCCATGGATCTGGAAGAGCAGGTCCTCGCCAACAAGGCAGTGATAGCGCCCCCCGGTGAGGGAGGCCAGGCTTCTCAGGAAGTTAACCTCGGCCCTGGAGGGAGGAACAGAGAGAGGTGCCTGCCTGAGGCCAGAAGACTGACCCCCCGGCCCGTTCCTGGGAGCCCCAGCCTGGGGACTCATGCGGAAGTCTGTCAGCCAATGGGCCTTAGACCCCGAGGCTCTGTGCCACTGAGGCCAGGTCAGGGTCACCAAGCCCACTGTCCCGCCAGCCTATGGCAGGGACAGCAGCTGCCACCCTGTGGGGGGATTCACCCATTCACACGTGATAGGCTGGAGTCCTCAAAGCGCACGGCCGCACTCTAGCCCCCTCCCTACCTGGACATCCATCCAGTGCCTGCTGGGTGGTAGGTCTACCAGCAACACAGTGCTGGAGCTCACGGTTTAGGCACAGAAATAAAATATGCACCTAAATAATCACATATTAAATAATCACATTATTTGCCAATAATGTTCACTTTTTTTCTGAAGCACTTAAATCTCTCTTGTCTAACACATGCTCTTCCTTGGTGATCATTTATAAAAACAGCCGTAACAATGCTACTTTAAACTTTCCCCCCCTAACTGTTCATAAATGTGCTCCCAGGAAAGACGGGGAGGAAAAGTGCGCCACGTGACGGTGGGAATCGGTGCAAAGCAGTCCGTGTGCAGTCAGAGGAACAGGCCCTACGCTGGCAGGTTAAAGGCCAGCTCCTGCCCAGCTCCCAGGGCCTGACTCACAGGCCCGGGCGCCGGGGTGGGGGGTGGGGGTCGGGGTCTGACCGGAGCCCCCGGACCAGGCGAGTGCTCCCACCTGCCCGTGCCGCGCGGGGAGATGGTGTGCACTCTCACGTCTCGTTCCTGCCGGAGTCGGCGGACTTCACGCAGAACGAGGCTGCAGCTTGTGTCTGGCTTCCCGTCAGTCAGGAGGTACAGTCCCTCCACGTCCTGAAGACTGAAGGCTTTCTGAAAGGGCACGCAGGTGGTCTGGCTCAGGGTGGGTGCTACCAGGAGGGGAAACCCATGGCCTGCTCTTCCCACAGAAAATGTGTCTGACTGGATCCCAGTGGCTTCCCCGTTAAGACTGAGAGACCCCCTTTCAGCCCACCACTGATAACAACGCTGCCGAGGGTTAGGAGAAAGCACAGTTCACTTCCTGGCTGGTCAACCCCAGGCAAGTCACTTAACCTCTCTGAGCCTCTGTGTCTTCTATAGAGAACAAGAAGAATCCCTTTCTCACTGGGTTGTCAGGAAGATAAAACGATTTAGCACTTAGTAAATTCTGAAGTATTGTGCAGTATCCGCATGTGGGCTGATGCTACTTCCACTCTGCTGCCAGGTCGGGCTCAGGGGCGGAACTTGCCAGTAATGCCTGCAAGACTGAGGTGCTGCCCTGAGCATGCAGGTGGGTCACCCACTGCATGGCCTCGTGACATGCTGTGTCTGTGGGCTCCACCAGGGTGTCCTGCCACAGTTGTAGGTCTTCTGAAAAGCTGATCAGGTTAAAGCTGGGGAGGGGGAAAAAGAGACTGGTTGGAACATGCCAGTCTGTACTGAATTCTGGGGAAGTAATCTCTGTGAGGACTGGGTTGTGGACCACCCGAGAATAAGTGAAGATTCTGGGTGCAGACAGAAGTAAATTTTAATACCCCCTCAGCCACTTGTAGGTTGTGTGATCTCAGACAAATTATTTAACCTAAGTCCTAGTTTCTTTTTCTGAAAAATGGAGATAATGCCACCTTAGGTCATTGTGAGGAGTGAGTGGAATCACGCATGTAAGTGCTCAATAAATGTTTGCTCTTTGTATCATGAGGGCAAGAGTGAGTCCCAGTCTGGGGCCAGTCTCCTGCTGACCCCTTAGGGTCAAACCTTCTGAGTAGAGAAAACAAACAGCCCACTGCCTCTACCCCTTAAAAATCAAGTTCAGCTGAAATGCACAGTCCAGGATGGTTCCTTTCCTTTGCCTGCAGCTGCCCCTGGGCCCAAGTAGGATTTCTAAAATCAGTGTTCTTTCGTGCTCAAATAAGCTACTCATTTGTGCATTTCAGAAAGGTCCTGGCCTATGGAATGGTGAGGAGGGAGTGCTCTTGGCCAGGAAGCCCCAGGAACGACCCCTTTCAGCCCCACACTACCATCTCTTACCTGTCACAGTGCTTCCTCAGCTGCTCCCAAATCAGCAGGATCAGCTCTGTCTTCACCTGCGGCAGGTAGGGGCCCATGGACCCCGAGGTGTCCAGCAGGATGCACACTCTCTTCTCCAAAACAGTGCCAAACAGCCTTCGGCTCCCTGCTCCAGGGGGGTTGGGGCAGAGGCAGGGAAGGAGTGAGGGCTCACCCCTCCTGGCTGCTTTTCCTCGCTGTAGCGGTCAAATTCACACGGTCTTGCAACACCTGTTGCCTAACTGATCACTGGTCAGATGTCAACCCGCTGGGAGATGGCCTTGGTGGGGTTGTTGGACGGGTGGGCTGGCTGTGGCTCTGCCTGTGATCGCTTGTACACGTGGTTATAACTGCCCTGGGCTTGAGCTTCCAAATCCTTCAAGTTAAGTGATTGGACTCAGTAGAGTCTCAGTATTGTTTGGGGCTGAGAAATATACTACAGAACACAAAGTCCGCTGATGGCCCAACAGAACCAGCTGAGCATCTGTTATATGCCTGGTACTGTGCAGAAAACCCCCAACTAAATTGAGCCTCTCGAGGGTCAGCCCCTCAGTCACAGCCAGGAGGAAGGTGTGGAAGATGGCCCTGCAGAACACCCCTGGACAGACCTGGGTCCTCTCTGGTGCTCTCTGGCCCCTGTTCCACCTCCCTGTCATCCAGCATCTTGCCTGACCTCTGAACCCAGAAGACATGCTGTACCTGATGACCCTCCTGGCCGAATCCCCCACCTAACAGTTTGTGAGTGCCTGGCCTGGGAAGGACTGACCCTGGGGTCCCTGGGGTTGACTGCCCTCTTCCCTCATGCCCCTCCACCCTCCAGGGCAGCGGGCAGGCTCACCAGATAGCAGCCACTGCAGCCTCTGGACATAGCGTCGCATCACCTTCCTCAGGCGCGTGATGTACGCCTCAATTTCCCTGGGCGTCCACTGCACGTGCCTCACCACCCCCTGGATTAACGCGGGCGAAGGAAACTCCCCCATCACTTTTCTTCATAGTCCCATCACCCTCTAAAAAGTTCAGTCCGTTGAGGCTCATAATTTCCCAAACATTGTTAAATGTACCTGTTTGTTTGTTTTAAAGCTTTTATTTCATCACTAGACGTGTGGTTCTAGGGCGGAATGGGGAATTGGGATGATGGTTTTGTGGCAAATGTGGTCACTGTATTAATAACATAGTCTCTCTAAATTTTAAATCAGAAAACCCTTCATGGCAGGATGGAAGGTGAGCTTGGATGGAGAGGGGGAAGCATGATTAGACTCCCTTAAACATTTTCTGGTGGGTAATCCTGAATTTGGCGGCTATTTTTATCTTTATGGTTTCCTCTTGTGCTGACAATGTTGTATAAGAGGGCAAGGAGAGACAATGGGGTCTTTAAAAAAGCATGGCTAGATTTTCATTTTGTACTAAGTGTACTTGTTCCAATGTCTGAGCAATGAGAAACAAGAGCCCCAGGTAGAAAACAGAGAACCCCTCACCCCTGGTAGCCCTCATCCCTGCCACCCTAATACCACCACAGTGCTGGGGGACAGTCCCTGCTGGTGAGAACGTTGGCCGCTGCCCTGTGTGCTCAGCCAGTCTCTGACTCTCACCCCAGTGAGCCCTTCTTCCCCGAGCCTGGCCTGAGGCTCCCTGAGGGGCTCCCTTTCTTCCAGCAGGATCTGCAGGCCCTGTTCCCCAAGAGCAGCCCCACTTTGGGGGCGCGGGCTTGGCAGGAAGAACAGAAGCCACGGTGCCTACATCCACGTGGAGTTCTCTCCAACACACGCTGCCCCGCGTGGCCGAGAAGAGGAGCTGGGAGAGGACACCACCCACAAACCCCGACTTACCTGGACCTCTACACTGGGGAAGGCGCTGCAGTATTTGGCTGCCGCCAGCCTTTGTACGGACCTTTGATGAGTGCAAGTGGGACCCAAGCATCTGGAGATCTCCATCTTCAGTGTTTTTAGCCCATAATTTGCTACCCACTTTAGAATAAAGAAAAGAACTATCATCTTGGGCAATTCAGGCTGAAGTGAATGACTGTCTGACTCATCTATGAAAATCTCGTCTTTGAAATCTGTCTCATGTTTGAAATGCGGGGCTCTTTGGTCCCACTGAGAGCATCCATTGCACGCAGATTCCTTCCCCAGGGCTGGGGAGGGAGAGATGCACAAGAAATATGGGCAGCGGGGAACAGAATTTGTTGAGTACCTGTTACTCCCTCGGCTGGGGGACACTGTTGTTTCCCCACATCATTTCAACCTTCCCCCACAAAATTCGGATGGAAACCCTGATGGGCCTAAAGTTCACACTGTAATCCAGTTAGGATCATTTCAGTCTCCTTGTCACAACCAGTTGCAAGAACCGGCAGGCTCCAGGCAGCCAGAGCGCGGCCTCCGGACTGGCCCAGCCAGGACCAAGCCGACCTCACTGCGTGGCAGAGGGAAGAAAGGTGGTCTGCCTTCTGGACGCACAAGAAGGGGGATTTCTGTTGCTTGCAACCAAAAGGATGTGGCACCACTAAGGACCTGACACAAAATATGCTTCAATTATTCGTCGATCTTATTTGACAGATACAATCGTCTTCATTTTACAGAGGAGGCCGTTGAGATTAAATGCAGCTAGGAGGGGGCACACTCAGGGCTCGAATCTAGGGGTATTTAACCCTTAGCAGTCATTCTAAGCAGGTTTGTCCTCACTTCCAAGTATGTG